AATTACAAGTTAAAAGGGGCATGGACATTTCTCATTTTTGTATCGAAAAAATATCGAACTGTGAGACTAAAGTATCGAACCGAACCGAATCGTAAATTTTCTGTATCGTTGGGCCCCTTCTTCTATCTTTTCTTTCTTGCTTGCTTTTTATCCAGTAGAAAAAATAAATTTTCACAAGTCAGTATTTTATTTCAAAATAAACTTTGTTGRTTATCATTTTTCATTTTGATTTGAATGTCAATAAACAGCTTTAATTTCTGTGGGAAAATAGTTTTGATTAAAACCTCAAAAAGTTTTTAACTAATCAGAAACTTAGGATTTTAAAAAATAATTGATTTTATTTCTAACACTTAGCAACAACTTCAAAATTAGAATAAAATGGAGTGGTGGTGTTATGTTTAAGAAAAGTGTATATAATTTTTTGCCAGTCAAAAACTTGATGTCCCGATTATTTTTTTTAGTTTCATCTTTAAACCAGGAGGGGGTGCTCCAGGTTGTTCGACAGGTTTGAAGCTCCTGCAGTGACTCGTTCCACAAGAAGCTGAATTTTCTAATTATAAACAGTATAAACCTAAGGATAAATGCAAAAAAAATAAAACGTGTTAGAATAAATGAGAAACACATTATAGACTCTAGAATAAATAAAAAGATGCTTTTAAGTATGGAGTATTTTGTCCCCTGTAATAGTACCACACATGATCAATAGGAATAAATGAAGAGAAATATGCAACTTAAAGAATTCATTCAGAAAATATTTTACAAAATGTCTTTTATTGTCATCTCAGGAATACAGTTGACTGCTGTGCACAGCACATACGTACAAAAATAAAAGGAAAACCATTTGTAATATAGTCTTTTTCTTACTAGTCATCATATTTTTCAGAAACAAATGATTGGAGAAGTCTGTTTCAAACTAATTTACAATCATTTTAATAATCGGAACTAAGGCAGAAGGTGAGGTATATGTTAAAAAAGAGGAGGGGGGGACTCAGAGGAAGCACTCTCCCCCTCAGTGCAGGAATAGAAAAAACTGAGAGAGAAACATAAAGGCTGTTGGCACACAGGGAAACACACACGTCTGATCTCAGACCTCCACTTCCTGGAGAGCCAACTCATTTTAAAAGCAGCACAAAGTCCAGACCCTGGAGCTCTAAGGGGTAAGACTCACCTGTCCCATTCAGAACTCTACATGCATAATGAGGAATTAAGGAAGCAACGACGAAAAGTGATCATTCCCCCACCTTGAACTAACCTTTTCTTGTTATTATTAGAAAACCTTTTCTGCATCATGCAAACATCGTAGGATTACGAAAAGAAACGTTTTCTTCAGACTTTCAGCCTCCGAAAATCTGACAGCAAACAAAGCTGCTTTTGGAGTGAATGCTACAAACTTCATTCCCACAAAAAAAAAAAAAAAAAAAAAAAAGATCGTACAGTTCCCACTCTGGTTGCTCGGATTTCTATGCTGACAGTGTCCTCTGAGCGATAAGCCAGGAAAAAAACAAACATACTGTAAGAACACATCAAAAGAAGTGACGCGTCAGCTTGTTTTAAAGAAAAACAGCATCTCCATTAAAAAATGCACCTTGCGTTTTATTTTTTTATAAATTAAATTAAATAAACTCCTCTCTGCTGCTACAGGTGATCATTTACCAATCAGAGCGATATGATAAATACTGATCAGTTCAAGATGCTCAAAACAAAATCCTCCAAAGACAAAAAGAGTGGTGTCCACATTCCAACAACATGTATGACATCTCAAGTGGTTCTTTTGCATCACAGTATTCAGTCCATCAGATAATTCACTCAAATATTTTTTTCTTATTTTTCTGGAAGCGTTGGATTATTTATCCTTGGCCTTTTTGCTACAAACCAACTCAAAGCAAAGTCGGTGCTTTCTTTCAGTTTCCATCCTCATCGCCCTCTCCCAGGAGAGGAACACAGTGCATCCGCTCGCACAGTGACACAATGTCATGTTGTTCCTAACTCAAGGTAAACTGATCAGATCTCTGTTTTTGTGCTTTGGCAGAAGCAGAGCGTGACAGCAGTGTACAATACACTGAAATACACTCCGCTTCTCTCTTCCAGCACAGAACTTTCTGCTACTGAACAGAATGGAGTCTGAACCGTTTAAAGCTACAACCCCAATTAAAAAAAAATCTTAGTCCAGTCCTCCTACTGCCAATTAACGGTATTTCTTATTTGTACCACAGCCTTTTGTAGCCTTTGTCTTAGTTTTTTGAGACGAGACTGGCATAAAACTCAAAATTATCTTAATTTTAAAAGAAAATTTTAGATATTTTGTTTAAATATAGAAATATGGGTTTATCAGATTTGCATATCATTGCATTCTGTATTTATCTTACTGGACGTACTGACTTTTTTTTTAAACTGGGGTTTTATTTTCTCTGTGTTCCAGAAATAAAGAGCCCATGAGGTAAAATATGACAACTACAAACAGGAATTTTGCTGCTTTTTCTTTAGACTCATTTCACTAAGCTGCCCTTCTGCCAGTAGAGTGCTACTTAAAGGATCCTGCAAGTCAAGTTACAAAATCAGCAAAAATCAGACTAAAACACAATATTTAAAAGACTGAGCATATGTGCCATAATTAGAAAAATCATCAGTCCCTTTCCTCACTTTTCAGAAAAAAGAAAAAAAAAAAAGAGCCTTCCAAGGTGCAGAGCTTGGTCAAGCAACACGGAAAAGATCAGAACAAAAAAAATACAAGAACACGAGGACGGAACAACCAAATCTCTGACCTTGGTGCAAAAACGGCTCAGATGCAGAACATTCCCAGGGCCCTGCACTGCCCATCCTGTCTGACATCAACCAATCAGAAGCTCACAAATCTGACACTCCAGCATTTTACTATGTGTCCTCTACAAGTTAAACAAACAATCAGTGCTGAACACAGAGTGCCATGTAAGTCCTCCGGTCATGTTTGTGTTTTCTGCTGGGGTTTATCTTGTAGAAAATTACAGTATCTGAGAGAGGAGTGTGAGCGTTTTATGAATTCAAGTACATTATGCTGCATAAACAAAGTCTGAATGAACGTTACAGAAAAAAATGTTCTACTCTACCTCAATGACCAAGCTGAACAATGCATAAATAGCTTAAAACACTGGGTTTAAAAAAAATCCACTTGTGATCATGAAATCTGTAGGTGTTCCAGTTCTCTGTAGGCCAAACTGGAACACTTAAATTTCTTCAAATGAACCCAAAACACCTTTGTATTTACAGTGAACCGACTGAGCAGCAGCTTTTGCTTTAATTTCACTCATTTCTGCATAAATGTGCCACTTTAAGTGCCAGATATCATCAGTGTGAACTTCAAACAGCCCCCTTTTCATTTGATTGCAGTTTTTCTTAAATAAAATCAAATACCCTAAAATATGAGTCGGTAAGGACAAAATGTTCAATTTGAAGACGCAGCAGACAGAAAAGCTTCGTCGTCTCAGTTTGATGGTTTCCTGCTACAACTGACACACCCTCGTTGACGAGCACATGAGCAGAAGACAGTAAATCAATGCATCCATTAAACATTTCTGCAGGTGCTGGTCATAAAATTAGAATATCATGAAAAAGTAGATTTATTTCAGTAATTYCATTTAAAAAGTGAAACTTGTATATTATATTCATACATTACAAACAAACTCATATATTTCAAATGTTTATTTCGTTTAATTTTGATGATTACAAATGACAACAAATGAAAATCTCAAATTCAGCATATCAGAAAATTAGAATCTTGTGAAAAGGTTCAAAATGGATGGCACCTGGTACCACACTCTAAYCAGCTAATTAACTCAAACCACCTGCAAAGGCCTTTAAATGGTCTTTCAGTCAAGTTCTATAGGCTACACAATCATGGGGAAGACTGCTGACTTGACAGTTGTCCAAAAGACGACCATCGACACCTTGCACAAGGAGGGCAAGACACAAAAGGTCATCGCTAAAGAGGCTGGCTGTTCACAGAGCTCTGTGTCCAAGCACATTAATAGAGAGGCGAAGGGAAGGAAAAGATGTGGTCGAAAAAAATGTACAAGCAAGAGAGATAACCGCACCCTGGAGAGGATTGTGAAACAAAACCCATTCAAAAATGTGGGGGAGATTCACAAAGAGTGGACTGCAGCTGGAGTGAGTGCTTCAAGAACCACCACACACAGACGTATGAAAGACAYGGGTTTCTGCTGTCGCATTCCTTGTGTCAAGCCACTCTTGAACCACAGACAGCGTCAGAAGCGTCTTGCCTGGGCTACAGAGAAACAGGACTGGACTGCTGGTGAGTGGTCCAAAGTCATGTTCTCTGATGAAAGTAAATTTTGCATTTCCTTTGGAAATCAAGGTCCCAGAGTCTGGAGGAAAAGAAGAGAGGCACTTCATCCACGTTGCTTGAAGTCCAGTGTAAAGTTTCCACAGTCAGTGATGGTTTGGGGTGCCATGTCATCTGCTGGTGTTGGTCCATTGTGTTTTCTGAGGTCCAGGGTCAACGCAGCCACATACTAGGAAGTTTTAGAGCACTTCATGCTTCCTGCTGCTGACCAACTTTTTGGAGATGCAGATTTCATTTTCCAACAGGACTTGGCACCTGCACACAGTGCCAAAGCTACCAGTTCCTGGTTGAAGGACCATGGTATCCCTGTTCTTAATTGGCCAGCAAACTCTCCTGACCTTAACCCCATAGAAAATCTATGGGGTATTGTGAAGAAGAAGATGCAATACACCAGACCCAACAATTCAGAAGAGCTAAAAGCCACTATTAGAGCAACCTGGGCTATCATAACACCTGAGCAGTGCCACAGACTGATCGACTCCATGCCACGCCGCATTGCTGCAGTAATACAGGCCAAAGGAGCCCCAACTAAATACTGAGTGCTGTACATGCTCATACTTTTCATGTTCATACTTTTCAGTTGGCCAACATTTCTATAAATCCTTTGTTTTTATTGGTCTTCAGTAATATTCTAATTTTCTGATATGCTGAATTTGAGATTTTCATTTGTTGTCATTTGTAATCATCAAAATTAAACGAAATAAACATTTGAAATATATGAGTTTGTATGTAATGTATGAATATAATATACAAGTTCACTTTTTAAATGGAATTACTGAAATAAATCTACTTTTTCATGATATTCTAATTTTATGACCAGCACCTGTACATGCATGCCTGAAATCATTGCACACCCATACATATGGGACACGGTCACATGCTCAGGCTGGCCCAAGCACCCGGCTGCAAAACTTGTGAAAATAAAACCTGGGATTGTCAAAGCTGTCTTGGACACGATGCTTTGGGGGTGAGGGTGGAGTGAGTGCTGSATCTAAATCCAACTTTCCAAGAGGCTCCACTGGATCCTGTGCAGCATCTAGTCTCAGTTACTCAATAGATCCAATAATAGCAGGAGAAAAAAAAGTGGAGAAACCTCAGACCCTCGAGGAATTGGGCTAAAGTCCCTCAGGGGGTGTCTTAGGGAGTGATGACTCGCGTATCGTTCCTATTTCTGACTCCAGCCCCACATTTCTCGCATTCGACGGTGAGGGGGGGCATCAGGAGGAATTCAAGGCACAGCCACCTCATGACGACGCAAAAAAAAWCCACCGACAAATTTACAAGTGCTCCGGTTGCCCTGACAGTGACAGAAACGATCAATCACAGACATCTAGCTTTGTGATGGACGACAACAAAACATGTGAAAGTAAAYAGACGTTCCTTCGAGTGGAAAATTAATGCGCAACGTTTCGCTTCTTTCCAAACGTCCTTTTCAGCGTATGGTTGTTTGAGGTAATAACATCTCCKTTTATATTTCCAAAAAGATAAACCACGATCCACTGACAGGGCAAACACTCAACCGAACCCAACAAGCACCCATAAAAACCGAAGGGACGAACAAACACGTCTCTATCCTCTTCGTATCACAAAAAAAAAAAAAGATGACAAAACTTATAAAAGCAGCACAGAATGGTATTTCAATCATTTCTAATACAAAGTCAGCTACCCAAATATACATATAAAGTTTGAATAAATATTTTCAGATATAACTGTGTTTCTTTCTCTAGCAGTCCATGTTGTTTTTGTGTTTGTACGTACGTATATGTATTTGTGTTACCTGGGATATAATCCACATGTGCAAATAAATTTGTTATTGCCAGTTTTTTTTCTTTTTTCCTCATCATATTCGGGGTAGGAAGTGCGTCACAGTCATGGCAGTAGTGGCTTTGTTGCCCCTCTTCACACGGCCATGCTTGCTCAGTGCTATGTAGGACCCTCTGTAAACCAGAGACTCGTAGGCGTTGTAGTTGTTCGGGAGCAAACTCTCCTTGAACTTGCACTCGTCATGGAAGACTGTCTGGAGAGGGGGAAAATAAAAACACAGAGAAAGAACATGATTCTTAAACAGCTGCTCAAGAAAAAATACAAAGTATAAACCACAGAGTCTTCAACGATGGGGTCGTAACCCGTAGTGGGTCCATTGAGGTACTGCAGGGGTGTTGTGAGATTTTTGGTCTTTTTTTATGTAGTGTTAGATTTTTGTTAAAATGTTGAAGACTTTAGATAGATTCTGTTTTCTTTTTTCATCTGGAAACAGTAAGACTTGTGATTAGAAAGTAATGTTGATAATGTTATCGGCTACAAAGTTTTATTCTAAGTACTGTACAGTACAGTACATTCATGTGATCAAGTAACCCATCACTTACAACCAAGATTTAACTGGTATGTGAAGAAATAGGCAACTATAGTGCATTGGTTAAACATTTAAATAATATAATATAATATAATATAATATAATATAATATAATATAATATAATATAATAAATGAATACTTTATCGATGGATCTTTTGGAATAAACTCTCAAATTAATATTGAAGCTTTTTTGTGCAGTAGCTACAAAAACATGCTTTAGAGTTTTAAAAAAAATCTTTAATTCTTTTGTAATTTCCCTGCGAGCTAGAAGGGAAATTCTTTCCCGTTGTTATCTCAGAACCCAAACATTGAGGTTTCCTCTTTATAATGACATCAAAACTTCCTCATTATAACAACCTAAAAATACCATTCAGACCAAATATTAATGAATTATTGTGATTAGGAAGACAAATCAATGCATATCTTTGGAACTGATAATCTGAAAATGGACCAAATTTGACCTGATTCTATTCGATGTGACGAGTCACAGATATTTATTTATAAAGCACCTTTCATAAGTAGAAATGCTTTAAACAAACAAAAATATACGTTGAGCTGTGTACTGATAGTTTGGAGAGCATGACATTTGACCACAGAACAATTTTTTAATTTTGCCCCAACATAACTTATTAAATAAATACGGCAGTGTTTCTGTTCAGTGATCACGCATAACTTCTTTTTTGAATGATAGAGCTTTAACCAGCATTTGCAGGTAGCATGGTGAACTGTTTTAGGTAAGCACGACGGCTCAATAGTTAGCAGCAAGAAGGTCCTGGGTTTGATCCCCGGACTGGGGTGAGGGAGGGTGGGTAGGCAGGTAGGTAGGTAGGTAGGTAGGTAGGTAAGTAAATAAGTAAGTAAATAAATAAATGAATAAATAAATACTGTATATACAGACATTGATTTGCAAGTGTTCCTAACCTACGCAGGGATGTCAGTGACCCCAAATGTCAATGAATCAGGGTCTGCATTGCAATATAGGAACAACCTGTATTTATGCACACACAAAACCCATACAGTCACTCTTGGTAAGTACTCTGAGTTCTGTTCTGTTCTTTTGTCAATCAAAAGAACAAGACAAAAATGGGTCCAGACCACTTGCGATGGTGTCTTGCCTCAACAAAGTGACAATATGACTCTGCAGTGCTGAGCTGGCAATCCATGACACATCCAGCAGCAGAGCGAACCCTCTCCATCAGAGAGCATGTGGCCTAATTCAATCTCTTATCAGATCCTCAGTCTGCTCGCAAGCAAACGCTTCATCACTCAAGACCAGATAACCGGCTGCATTCTGTCTGTCAAATATGTAAAGGAGCGGCTGCGTGTCAGAGCACTCGCCTTAACACAATGACCCCCCCAACACCACCAGGGACCGTTTTATATTCATGACTAAAAGGAGAATTGGTTTTATCCTCTGGAAGATTTCTCTAGCAGGCCCTTAAACTGATTAATCTTATGCACATAAATCAGTACCTATTTCTTAATCAAACCAACAGCGTTTAAAGAGAAAACATGATCTTATAAAACTTTCATTAAAGACATTTTGTCTAAATGAGGTGAAGCATCAACATTTCTTGTCACAAATGTGTACCACATCAATAAATCTCCAACAAGCTGGTTAGATATTTACTTAAAGTCCCAGTGACATCTAATTTTCGTAATAAATATGAATGCATTTTTGGAAAGATAATATTAATGACATATTACAAAATGTATTCCATGCCACTGAGATAAATAATTGCTGAGATATTTGCATGTGAAACAACAGGAAGTGATGTCAAAGGGGAACGTCTGCATGTGAACAGAGCAGCGCTACAATGAAACAGATTGTAGAGAAAATCTCATGTTTTTTAAGATTATTTTGAGTCACTATCAGAGAGAGTTGAAGGGTCAGATTTCAATTAATATTGTTTCAAGAAACAAAAAAGTTTTCCTTCAACAAGAACTCCCCTTTGATGTCACTTCCTGTTTCATTTTGGCTGAGCCACATTCAAAAGAAAAGATGCCAATTATGTGACAAAATGGGTAAAAATCATGTGTATTGTGCCAGGTTTCATAAATATAAAGATGTTTTCTTTGACCTTTTTAAGCACATCACAGGAACTTTAAATAACTACATTTTTCAGCCATTTTTAAACAACCGCTCCTTAAAAAACACCAACAGAAAAACCTAAACTTCCAATCAGTCGAAGAAAGTTTGCTCAGTTTTATTTCAAGTTAAAACCCATTATTTTTGTGAGAAGATACTGATGGAACATCTAAAATACAATTATAATAATCAAAAACATAAGAGTGTAAACTTTCAGATTTATCTTTTTGATGCAGAAGCTGATGGATTTGGGTGCAGATTAAAGACATTTACCGTGTGTGTGTAAGTGTGTGTAACGTGCACTGCAACGCCAAACAAGCATTATTCGTTTAAATCGATTTCCAGTTCTGCTGACAGGCATCAGGGGGTTTCCCACCTCCAGGACCACATTACCATCCTGCATCTGTTAACCTCATCATTATTCGCCTGTATAGGCCAACGTGTCACACACACACACACACACACACACACACACACACAC